AGGGCTGGCTGCCATGGGGGAAGGTTCTCTGCTGTGGTTCTGTGGTTTTTGTTGTCAGTGTTCTACATCAGAGCATCATGTAAAGTGAGTTAAAGAGTTTGAGTTCTGGTTCTTGTCCTGCCTTTATGGGCATTTTGGGTTCTCAGGTAGGAGAGGAGCAGCAGCATTCCTGGAGTACAGAGGAGGGAAGGTGGAGCTCCTGGCTGGACCGAAGCAGAGGTACGAGCTTCCCTGTGTAAGAACTCGTGTTTGTCGCTGTTTCCCTCTCGCGTTGTTTGATTTGGTTGGATTTAGTGTGACCTGTTCTCCCAGAAATACAGGACTTCACCGAAAATATGGAAATTCCTCCCAGAAATACCTGTTTATCCCCTGAGATACGACTTTTTTTCTCCCAGAAATACTTGTTTTCTCATTAAAATGTGACTTTTTCTCCTTCTATAACCCCGCACAAATCCTCCAGACCCCAAAGTCCCCCTTGTCCTCCATGCCCCCCCATATACCCTCACGATTCCCCATAGACCACCCTGACCCCCTACGGATCCTAAAGTCCTCCTTACCTTCCATGCCCCCACAAGCCCCCACAATCCCCTATAGAGCCCTACATCCTTTATGCCCCCCATAAGCTCCCACCATCCCCTACAGACTCCGGCCCACCCCTTTGTGGCCCCATTGGCACTGCACAGCACCGCCACCACCCACATCCTTTTCCGTTGTAGGGCGGAAGGAAGCGGCGGCCCCACAGTGTGGCAGCAGCGCCATGGCCGGCCCTATAACCGCCCTTATGGGCGTTGTGCTCGGGGGTGAGGGCGGATCCCATATTTGGGGGTGTCCTATGGGGGTTGCTATGGGGTCAGTAGGGTGCTATGGGGTGCTTTGGCCCCACGGTGACCCCACTGTGCCCCCCCCCCCAAGCTCTGTTCTCCCCTATGGGAACCTTCAACATCCATCCAACCCCACAGCAGGTCCTGGAGGTCGCGGGGACCCCCAGCTTTGGTTATGGGGTGCTGATGCTGTCAGAGGGATGGTAAGGATCCATGGCCCTATATGTGACCCCAAATCACCATTGGCCGTGGGACTGCCCCATATTTGGCTGTGTTCCCCTACAGGGTGGTTGTGGGGGCTCCAAATGTGGGGCGGTTGTATGGCTGCCAGGTGCAGAATGGGGAGTGCAGGGAAGTGGAGTTATGGGGTGAGTAGGGCCAGGGTGTGGGCTGGGATTGGGGTGGGATTGGAGTTGTGGGAGGATTAGGATCAGGAAAGGGATGGGGTGGGATTGGGGCTAGGATTGGGATGGGGTGGTATTGGGATTGGGGTGGGGATTGGGATGGGTTGGGGTCAGGGTTGGGCTGAGATTGGGATTGAGGTTGGGATGGGAGGGTTGTGGGGTGGGTCA